CAAGGATATATCGCAATACTCCCCTGGGTTCAAGCCCCAGTGGTGGTGGTGGGGATCAATATTTTTTAAAAAGATTATAACAACACTATGGATAATAAGTCAACAAATTAGATAGCCTAGAAAAAATCGACAGATTCCTTGGAACACACAAATTACATAAACTGACTCAAGAAAATAAAATAGAAATCTCAGTAAACTTAAAACGGGTTAAGAGATTGAATCAGTAGTCAAAAAAGATTAAGTTCTGGACCAGTTAGCCTCATGTGAATTCTACCAAATGTTCAAGAAGAAACAAGGGCCAGGGATGTAGCTTAGCAGGCACTGCACCTGCCTGGCAAGTGCAAGGTCCTGAGTTGGATTCCCAGTATGGGGAGGAGGAGGGGAAACAGCCATCATTCTAATACTCTTCCAAAAAACTGAAGAAGAGAAAGCTCTTAATTTATTCTACAAGCCCAACATTATTTTTTTTTATCAAAGCTAGATAAAAACATCACAAGAAAATGATAGACCAATATCCCTTATGAATCTAGAAGCAAAAATCCCCAACAAAATATTAGCAAATTGAATTCAGCATATTTAAAGGATTATTCAACAAAAGGGCATTTGTCCCCAGGAATGCATGGGTGGTTCAATATCAGAAAATCAGCAATGTAATAAATCACATTAATAGAATGATAGAAGAAAATACACATAATCAATTGATGCAGAAATGAGGTCTGACATCTATCATCTTTCCATGATTAAAAACATTTAATAAGAATGGAGGGGAAATTCATCAACATGGCAAAGGATGTTCATGAAAATCTCAGAGGTAACATCATATTCAATGGTAAAAGACTGAACACTTTCTGCTCAGGTTAAGAAAAAGACAAGGGTGCCCGCTTTCACTGCTGTTAATCAATGGTGTTCTAACTAGAGCAGTTAGACAAGGTAAAGAAAGAAAAGCCACCCAAATTGGAAAGGAAGAAGTAAAACTATCTCTGTTTGCAGATGACATAATTCTACTGTTAGAAAATCTCAACAAATCCATGAACGCTATTAAGAGCTAACTAACAAAAAGAAAAACACATTATATCCTAGGAGTTATATTAGGATATTTAGGTAAAATAAAACCTGCATATACATTAAACAAAAAAAGAGAGCTAACTAACAAACTCTACAGAGCTGCAGGGTAGAAGACCAACACATAAAAATCAGCTGTGTTTCAATACAGGGGCAATGCATAATTTGAAAAGGAAATTAGGAAAGCAACTCCATTCAAAATAGAAGTTAAAATAATTAAATATTTAGAAATAAATCTAACCAAGGAGGTAAAAGATTTGCATGCTGGAGACTATAAGACACTGCTGATAGAAATTAAAGATAACATAAATACATGGGAAGACAATCATATTCATATACAGGAAGACTTAATGGTGTTAATTTGACAATACTACCCAAAATGATCTAATGGCTCAATGTAATTCCCATCACAATCCCAGTGGCAATTTTTGCAGAAATAGAAAAAAAAAAAAATCTCAGAATTCATATGAGATTGCAATGGGCCTTGAATAGCCAAAACAATCCTGGAAAAGAACACAGCTGAAATACACTTCCTGACTTTGAAACTTGTATTTTTGGAAAATTTTTTGGAAAATTAATTCTATAAATGATTCAAACTTTTTGTGACTGTAAAATAAAGTATCTTTCAGTATGAAGGTTCTATAATCCATATTTTGGCAACTTAAATAATTCTGCAGATTTTCAATTAAATTGACAGATTCTGATAACTATTCTGTAAATAATATAAATTCCATTAAAGTAGAACTGGAGTATTTTTAAGAACAAAAAAAGAAAACAAAAGTTCTTTCTAAACTTATAGGCCAAGTTTCTGGATATGGGACTTAAGAAGTTAAGCACCAAAATTAAAAAAAGTTTTCTTTAAACAGAAAGTTAGGGACAAAAGCATGTATACATTTACCAAAAAAATTAAGTACTCTAATCCTAATAGTATCAATAATTGATAATTTGATAGATTGCTAATCTGAAGTTTAAAAGATATATATATATATATTTTTTTGTATATCCTTTCATTGGTACACTTTAGGTGTACAATATAATGACATTCATCATTGGAGATATGCACCTTTACATAATCTCTTGGTTCTTATTTTTTCCCCCTTCCCCTGCCCTCCCTTCCACCCCTCCATCCCTCCCTAATTACAAAGACTATTTCCTTTTTCTCATTTTCTCATATTAATTCCATTCCCTTCTTTCCTTTCCCCTACCCCTCCCACTTCCCCTTCCCCTTTGCCCCTTTTCTTCCTATTTCACATTATCTATTATACCTAAAAGATACATTTTTTGGTGTTTGTATGTGATAGTATATGGAAGATATAAAACACAATTTTAAGATCTCAAGTTATATAATCTTTTTTTTTTTTTTTTTTGTACCGAGGATCGAACTCGGATCCTTCAGCTTGCAAAGCAGGCAGCGGAACCACTGAGCTAAATCCCTGGCTCTCAAGTTATATAATCTTAATCAAATGAGAATGTCACACTATTTGTGCATAAGAATTTTATATTTTTATTTTATAGTGTGTATTTTCCTTTTCTCTCAAAATTCATGACTAATGGATATCACTAAATCATTCTGAAGTGCAGAGAATTTATGACATATGTTCTTATGAAAAAAAATCTCCTCTGAAAATAAGAGCTCAAAATAACTATGTGTAAATGACACTTTAAAATAATATTCCTATAAAATAATAATCCTACAAGTTTGCCTTCTTGTGGATCTAGTTAGCAACATAATTTCAATAACCAAAATAGTAACTTTTAATTTCTCTTTTCCATGATATGTCTACTCTGTTACAAACAGAAGTAATTTTTTAGCATGTGTATAGATAAAATGCCGAAAAACTTAAAAGATTTAAAATCTATGAGTCATACATGATTACATACACAAGACTGGAAATGAGCAACTTTAACTAAGCATATGCCTTAAGCACTTGCACAAAAGAAGAAAAAGACAAAAAACAGGAGAAAATATTTCTCCTTGTGTAACTTTTGACTAGAGTACACAGCAGAAAAGCAAAATACAAGATATTTGGTTTTCACTTCAAAAGAAATTATCCAGAAATTAAATTCACTAAACATTAGAACTGTAAGTGTGCAGTATTTAGATTCATTCTATTCAGATGGAAGATAATACCTTTTTGGGAAAAAAGATCCTTCCCAAGCAATGTAATTTGTATCTCATTTACCTTCCAAACACCACTTCAACTTTACTACCTATACCATAAGCTTTCTTGACAGTTTCCAATTCTACCTATCTAAAAAAAGAGTTTAACCTCATAGATTCCAAGTGTTATGTCCAATTCCTCAGATCCCCCTAATTCTATAATCTTATTATAAACCTACATAATTAAAACAGCATAGTACTGACTTAGGCCAAGTATACAGACCAACAGAATAGAATAAAGAGCCCAGAAATACACCTTCAAATATATATCAATTGATTTTTGACAAGGGTGCTAAGACCATTCAGTGATAGTTTTCAATACATGGTTCTAGAAGTAGATATCCACATGCAAAAGAACGAAGTTATTCCCTTACCTAATAACATATATAAAATCAAAGACCTAAATGTAAGAGTTAAAACTATAAAACTCACAAGAAAAAAAAACACCAGAGAAAATTTTCATGATACTGGATTTGGCAACAATTTTGTGGGTATGACACTAAAAGTAGAGGCAAACAAAAGGAAAAATTAAACTGTATTTCCTCCAAATTAAAGATGTGTGGATTAAGGATATTATCAAGAAAGTGAAGGCAATCTACCAAAAGAAAGGAAATGTTTACAAATTGCATATGTGATAGGGATTAATATTCAGAATATATAAAGAACCCCCAAACTCAATAACAAAAAAACAACTTGATTAAAAAATCTGCAAAGGGCTTGAACAGACATTTCTAACGATATATAAATAGCTAATAAGCAAATGAAAAGATTCTTAATATCATTTGTAATTAGGGAAATTAAAATCAAACTACAATGAGATATTACTTCACATCTCTTAGGAGAATGGTATAGTTTTAGAAAAGCCAAAAAACCCCCAGAAAATAACAAGTATGGAAAAACTGGAGTCCTATATATTGCTGATGGGAATGTAAAATGGTGTAGCTGTTGTGGAAAGCAGTTTGGTGGCTCCTCAAAAGGTTAAACACAAAATTACCATATTATCTAATAAATCCTCTCTTAGGTATATATATAAAAAAACCTGAAATCAGAAACTCAAATACTTTTTACACCAATATTCATAGTAGGATTATTCATAATAGCCAAAAAGTAGAAACACTCAAGTGTTCATGGACAGATGCATGGGTAGATAAATACACAGTATATACATACAATGGCATCTTATTCAGCCTTAAAAAGGAAGGAGATGCTGATATAGAGTACAGCATGGATGACATTTGAAGATATTGCTCTAGGTGAAACAGAAGGGCAAATACATGAGGTTCCTAGAGCAGGCAAATTCCTGGAGACAGAAAGTAGAAGACAGGTTTCCAGGTGTGGGGGAAGGGGGAGTTACTGTTTAATGCATACAGAATTTTTGTTGGGAATGTTAGAAAAGTTTTGTGTGGAGATAGGGTTAATTGCTACCCATATTATAAATGCATTTAATATCTATGAGTTTTATATTTATCAATAATTAAAATGATCAATATGTAATTTTTAAAACAAACAAAATTTTAGGCACTATCAACCCCTCCTCAAGAGGAGCAGAGAGTAGCCAGGTAAAAAAAGGAGGAAGCATTCCTGCAAGGGGGACTTCCTCACAGCTGATTGGCAGCCACACATAGACCATGGACTCACTTCATGAAGAGCTCTGCTGCCTTTCCTGGTACAGCATGACCACATGGACAACCAGGAGCACTAGGTGGACACCACTGGCTCCTCAGGGGTCTGTGGAGGCAGACTACAGTGCTTCCCCAGGAAACTTTGTCCAGCTTACCTGTGGGGAACGAAAAGCTGTGAGCTCTCTGACGAGTTCCTCGAGGCCCTCCACATTCCGGCCACACAACACCAACTTAGCACCGGCAGCATAGAAGGCTTTGGCACATTCTAAGGGAGAGAAAAGAACCTTGACAGCCAAAGACAATCAGTGCTGCTTCTCTCCAGTACAATTTAAAGACTCCCAACATTGCACAGTGCAGGTTTGTCTCTTCATGCAACCCCCATGTGCTGGTGAGTGCTGTGGATCAGTGTGGGGCTGGGAGTTAGGGCCCAAGGTAGGGTTCCTGTCCAGAGGAGTGACAGGAGGTGCAAGAGACAACCACAAGGCAAAGACAAGGTTAAGAGGGATGGGCAAATGTGTGTCATATGATGCTTACAACTTTCCCTGATGCTTTTATTTAACCTTGAACAACCTGAGCATAACCTTCATTTTCAGAGGTGAGGAAGCTCAGCAACTGATGTTCCCAATGGCCAGTCAGAGAACCCATTCCAATGAGCTAGGATAAGTAAGCCTGGCTGTCACCTGCTATCCAAGGAGTCTGTGTTCCAGCACTCTCTGACTTACTCCTTAAGCCACCCAAGAGCAATCAGCACAGATCCACAGGTGACTTGTGCTGCTCTGCAGAAAATCAGGGCAGAGACTGTGAGAAAGTGTGGTGTCTTTCCCTGGAGTCCTGGATCCTCAGGGGCTGTTTCACAGACAGTGCTCCAGTCAAAGGGAACAGGATGTGTACAGCACCCAAAGGATGAGGGGCAAAGGATGCTAAGACAGAAAGTGGAAGGCCAAAGGCTTTGCTAGGCTGGGGGTGGGATTCAGGTAGCAAAATGTTGTGGGGTATGGGGAGGCCAAGGGGGAACAGGGATAAGGGGGTGATTAGGGGAATGTGGGGTGAGAAGAGGTCTAGGAAGCTGGGGCCATGAATGTGAGGTGCAGCAGAGTCCCAAGGGGATGTCTCTTGCTTGCTTTACCCTCAAACATGTTCCAGCTATTGTTCAGTGTCCTGAAAACTTTCAGCCCTGGAGAAGCAGTGAAGCACAGTGGTCCAAAAAAGGGACTTTTTGTGTCAACTCTGACTTCCCATGCTTACTGGTTCTGTGATGTCCAATAAATTATCTTTCAAAAAATTTTCTTCTTCTTTAAGATGCATATAAAACAGTGCCTAATTCAGGAAGAAGTACATGATTGAATAAGTTAAAGTAATGAATCCTTCCTATAATACTGGGCAGATAAAAAGCACTATGAAGCATTGTCTTTAATAGTACTTGTTTTTACTACTTATTAATATTTTAATATTTCTAAGCTGCCTTTTAAAAATGGTCTTAAAATTACAGATGAAAGCTTTGGCATGTGGGAATAGGGCTGAGCACTACCTGTCCTCACTTGAGGCCTAGTCTCCACAAACATGCATGAGAAGCTCTTGGGACACCTTGGGTCTTGACTGACCAGTGGGGCACAACATGGTCCTCGAACAAATCTTATAGGCCCAGATGGTCAAGTGGAAGGCTAAGGCTTCTTAGTCTTACTGGCTCCTAAAAGGGCCAAGCTTGCCCTACAGGGTAATTCCATCTCTGGGAGCCATGCTGCAAGGGCTTGGTGAGGTATCAGGGTTATCACCTGCTTGACTGGGAGGGGACAGGGTCAGAGGATACAGACAGTGTGTGTTGGATTTGAACAGCCCTTCCCTCACAGAAGTGTCAAGTTTCTTTAAATCTAGAAGGTTAACAGGAAAGGAGTCCAAATTCCAGTGTCTTTCAGGACTCGGGCCTGAGGTGTCATGGGAAGAAGGTGCTATGTTGCCTGCCTGTCTCTGGGTATGAAGTCTTCTCTGCAGCTGCAACAGTACCACCACCACTCCTGCTTCCCACTCATTCCCACACATAGTTCTCACTCACCCCCTCAGACAGTTTTCTGGAAGGAGGGACTAAGGAGATGACATAAGGAGTCCCTTCCTCCCTATGTCTGGGTAGCCTGGCCTGGTCTGGCCACAGCACATTCTCAGCAAAGCAGCAAAGGCCTCACAGAAGTGATCATGGTGTAGGTCTCATACCATGCCAGACACTGTGTTCCTGAGGCTGGAATTGCTCATCCAGTTTATCGAATCATTCCCAAAGATTAGGAACCTTGGGCCCTGTTTGTCCTGTCCTAATGAACATATAGGATATTTTGTTTGTTTGTTTGTTTGTTTTTTGGTACCAGGGATCGAACCTGGGACCTTGTGCTTGTGAGGCAGGCGGCGGAACCACTAAGCTAAATCCCTGGCCCCCATATAGGATATTTTGTGTGATGCCACCAAAGGGTGTGGACATAAAGAACCAAAGGTGGAGAGGCATAGTGGTATATAAACAGTTTCTGGAAAATGATCATCCAAATTCCACTTAAGCCTTGCTTCTTAGTAAAACCAGATGGGGAGGAAATTAAAGTGTGTGTATGGCATGAAGAACGAAGACGCGATTGGCAAGATTCCATCTTTTCTTGAAAAAGCTGATGCAGAGGGCAAGGAGGATCAAGGGATAAAAGGTTAACAGTTTCAAAGCGGCAGTTATCTAGGGTTGAAGTGGAGTCCCCAGTGCTGCCAGCATGTCTGGACTATAAATCAGAACACCTGTGCACAGCCATGTGCTTCAATGTGGCTGAAGAAATCATCCAGAACATTCCATGGTTAGTCAACAGCACTACTATTCTACAAGAACAAACCCCATGTAGCTTAAATGCACTAAATACCAGAAAAGATAGGAGAAATAGGAAAGCTGTCTGAAGACTCATCACAAAGCCCGTGGCCCCCAGAGCAATGACATGGCAGGCAGAGCCATTGAGGACAACTCGGGTTTGATCCTCACAGAAGCCAGCCAGTGGAACACAACCTTGGTGGCATCTGGCATCAGTTGTGGATATCTGTACTTGAGACAGCCCATTTAGAGTCGTTCTCACTTTTATTTGGATGGAGGGACGCCTGTCCTTAAGATGCTAAATGGGGCAGAATATAAGTAAAGTGGATGGGATCCAGGAAAGGCTTAACTACATGTACAGGAGTGGTTTTCTTAACTACATTTCTATTATGTTCACAGTCTTGGAGTTGAAAGGAAATGCAGAATAATGAAGAGGACAGTGTCTTCTGAAACATCCACATATTGGGACACCTGCAACTCCCTGGTGACTCCACACCAGGCAGCTCTCAAATACTCTTCAAGGACTTTTAAAAATTGCTTTCTCTGAGATCAAGAAGCAGCTGCTTACTACCCTATTTATAGAAGCTAAGTAAGGTCAGAGAACTAACTGATGGCAAAGGGCCAGGGGGCAGCTGTCCCTTTGAAGGTCTGGATATCCAATGACAGGCTCAGGGTTCACCCTTGAAGACCTCACCTAGTGGCCACAGTGGTGTGCAAATGAACCCACACTCCCTATAAAGTCCTCCCAGGCTCCCTCAGCCCTGTCTGCTTCTTTATTTTTATCCAACACCCAACTGATCACAATTCCCTGTGCTACCATGCTGCTCCTGTCATGAATGCCCTCCCTACTGGCCACACTTTCCTTTTACAGGGCCATCTCTCCCTGGGTGAGGCTTTAAAACTGAGTTCTGGCCAGGCATGGTGGCATATGCCTATAATCCTAGCACTATGGTGGCTGAGGCAGGAGGATTGTCATGACTTTGAGGACAGCATGGGCTACATAGTGAGTTTAAGGCCAGCCTGAACTGTATAGTGAGACCCTGTCTCAAAAAACAAAACAGACTGAGTTCTGAAGTCAGAGAGATGTGGGTTTGATTCTTAGCTTTGGCTTTCTGGATGGAAGTCCTAGGGTAGTGATGGTGAACTTTTTAGAGCTTTCAATGGTAACAGCTCACTGTGGCACACATACCATAGATTCACCACCACTGTCCTAGGGGAAAAGTCAAACCTCTGAATCTCAGGTGGAAGAATTTAGTGAGATCATGCACTTAAAAATGCTTAGCACAAGCCAGCACATAGAACTGGGCTTCCCTTCATCAGGCCTGACTGGGAACATCCACTACTATTTAGCACAGCTAAATAGCTGCCTTTCTCCAGCAAATTACAACCTTAAGAGGACCCTGTCTTTAATATATTTGTTTTTTTGTTGTTATTGCCGTGCTAGGGATGGAACACAAGGGCTCACATGGTAGGCAAATGCCGTATCACTAAGCCATCCCCCTGAGGCCCCAGGGACTCTGGCTATCACCTGTTTGTCCAGCCCTTGGCCCAAAGCCTGGCACTTTGCAGACACTTAGTGGGCACTCGTTGTGCTAGCAACAAAACATGCAGCAGCAGGTGGCCCATCACATTTCCCAGAGTTTCTCACCCTCTTCCCTGCAAAGTGCACTTAAGTGTGGGTGGTTACAATGTGGTGTGTGTGCAGAGGCTGAGGAAGGAGGGTGGAGACTTCATACCATGTGCCCTTTGCCTTGGCTGCCAGAGTCTATATTAGGTATACTCCCCTTCAGTGATACTTTGAGCTCCTGAGGCCTGGGCATGGTGTACTAGGACACAGACCTGGGACTCTGACAGCTCTGCAGTGCATGTGCATGGGCTTCTAGGCAAAGAAAGACTAGGGGTTTGACTGACCCAGGTCTGTGTCCTAGTACACCATGCCCAGGCCTCAGGAGCTCAAAGTATCACTGAAGGGGAGTATACCTAACGTGGAGAACCTGGTAAAAGGAACAGCTGAGGCTTCAATTATCCTGTCTCTGACCCTGCTGAGCCCTGGAAGGGAAAGGGAAGAGAAAGGTGTGTTCCAAGGTCATGCAAGGCTGGAGGTGCTAGCTGAATCAATGAAATAGTATGTTTATTTGGTCCTCACCGAGGTAAAAATACTTGTTTAGTTATCCATATTTGAAAATCAGGAGATTTCATATCAAAATCATCTTTCAAGAAGCAGCCAGAGCTAAATTAGGCATCCTTTCAACAGATAGTGGAGTCTTTTTTACTTGCTTTTGCCTCCCCACTCTGAGAGTCAGGGCCATTTCTCATTGTGTGTAAGGCCTTACATTTTTTCAACTAGACTCAAGGACTGTGTCAGCCAGTTTGCACATCCTGCAGTCCCTGTGCAGCCAGCCTCCCCTCATGCCTGGCTGGCTCTCCACACCCAACAGCACTGATCCCTGACCTACCTCTCCCCAGCCCTGAGGTGGCACCTGTGACCACCACCACAGCATTCCTCAGGTAGGCCTTCATGCGAATCCACTGCAGCAGCCGGAAGAGGCCAAAGATGCCCAGGCAGCCAAACAGCAAGGGCAGGATGGCTGTAGAGGTGATCAAGTCCATGGCCCTCCTCTTCAGCAGACTCTTTCTGGAAAGACCCAAAGCCAAATCAATAAATGACAGAGTAGGAAAACACAAGAAACTTGCTAAGGTTCCTCCCCTGATACAAATCCCAGATCTCCCTCCTGTAGACCTCTGCTTGGGGGCCACAGCAGTGCTTCTCCAGGTCCAGCACTGCATTCGACTGCTCAGCATCATGGCTTTTGTTTTCCCATACTGCACTGCTATGAGCAGACAGTAATACCATAGGCCTCAAGGTGCCTCTCCAAGATAAAGCTGAGAGTATCATTCAGCTTAGGGCTCGGTAGTTCAGTGGCCTGGCAAGTGCCACAGGAGGTGGCAGCTATCAGCACTCACTCGATTTTCCTTCAGAAACCTGTTTTAGGGAATTTACATCATGCCTGTTCTCATTTTCAATCCCTGAGTATTTGTGGGAAGAAAATTGTTTTAGAGATAAGGAAAAAGGAAATCATACTGATTTGTACACCTCTCCAAGCAGACAGGATGGATGTCTCTTGGTGGGGCAGCCCTGGGACCCACAATGGCCCTAAATGTATTTCTGACCACAGACCTCATGGACACTCAGGGGAATTCAGTGCAGGATGCCTGGCTGTCAGTGCTAAGGGTCGGCACAGACAGGCTGGTGAGCATGGTGCCCTGCCATGCACATGACATGGTCTCAGCTGGCATTCTCCAGGAAGCCATGGTTGGCCATATGAAATCAGGAGGGCACACCAGTGTTGGTGCAATAGTATAGTTAAATGTTTAGGAAACATAACCATTTTGTTCACAACTACCCTAATTTCCTTATTTCTCCCGAGCCTCCTCAGCTCTTCACTTCTCAACCAGAAACTATGACCAAAGCAACAAATAATCAGGAAGACAAAGAGTTAAAGTCAACTATGAGCTAGTGAGGACATCACTGTGATCAGTCATTTCGAAAGAAATGTCATCTAAGGCCAGAGTCTATTAGATAAAGGTCTCCTAACAGCCCACAAGCTAGACTGTGGTGTCAGGAACACAGTGATCCTTTGCAGGAACGAAAAGGCTAGAAATCAAGAATAGAGTTCTAGCGAAACAGGTGTGTCTTATTACTTTTCTCTCATTGCTGAGACAAAATACCCAACACCAAAAGCTGGAAGGGAAGGGGTTTATTTGGCTTACAGTTCATGGAAGTTTCAGTCCATAATCAGCTTGCTCCAAGGTAGGGATGGCAAACAGGTATTGCAAAGGAGAAACAACATGGTGGGCACAAGCCAGCAAAGGCAACAAGAGGCCTTCAATGAGTCTTTCTGCCTCTTTTATCCCATCCAGACTATGAAGATTAGGGCAGTGCCACTGAGGCCATCCTCTTAAGTGAAATAAATAGGACACACATGTGTAAATACCGAATAGTTTCTCTGGTGTGAAAAACTAAAAGTGTAAGAATCAAAATGTATAATTGATATTATGAAATAGGAAGAAAAGGTCTAAAGGAATAGGGGAAGTGGGAGGGGAAGGGGAAAGGAAAGAAGGGAAAAGAAAAAATATGAGAAAAGGAAAAACATGGAAACAAAGTCTTTGTAAATAGAGAAGGGTGGAGGGGGTTAAAGGAAGGCAGGGGAATGAGGAAAAAAATAAGAACCAAGATGCATCATGTAAAGGTACAAGATCCCAATGATGAATGTAACTGTATTGTATACCTAAAATGTACCAATAAACTTAACAGAAAAAAAAAAAGATTAGGGCAGTGCCAAACTAATCACTCACATGTAGTAGTTTAGTAATCGCATGCCCTTAACCCCAGCATCACACATTCCAGGTTCAACTACCTCTGAAAAAGAAAGTCCCACCTCATCTGCCTGAGGCTTTGGGGAGACATCTAAACACAAGCCACAACAAGGTGGAAGCTTTAAATTATTCATGAGTTTGGGAATAACTGTGTAAAACCATCTACGTACTAAATGTCCCATTGGCTCAACCCTGCACATTAAAAAAACTTTACAACCTGTGCAGGCAGATGGGCTGCACATGGCATGAGGCAGGTGCCTGTGGCCAAGGGAAATCTGGGTATCAAAACTGACTCCAGAAGAGAGAACCTAACAGACCAGTAGCAATGGAAGAAATTGAGTTACCAGAAACCTGTCATTCCCTATAATGAAGGCTCAGCTGGTGTCACAGGTTAAAAAAAAATCCTTCATAAACAAGAGAGATCAGAAGCAACGATGGAAGCTTGAAGCTCATGAAAAGAGGCCGCCAGTCCTAATGTCTTCAAAACAAGATATATCACCGCATATTACCAGTGTTGATGAAATGAAGCATTATTCGTGTGGCTGTTGCACAGCTTTCAGCAATATAGCAATCACATTTCCAGTTCCAAAGGTCTTTTGGCAGCACCTTTATGGACTCACAACCCGGGATGCAGTACTTCAGTTGAGGAGGGATGGATTTTGAAATTTGTATCAGGATATCCTCCCACCATGAGTACAGAAAACAACTGTCCTGGCATTTATGTTTGGTCTGTATGAGGATTTGTCTTGCCTTCTCCATAAGGACGTCAGTGCTCCAGAGTTGCAACCTGGAGTGTGGGGGCATTACTTGCAGGGCCAACAGAAGCCATTTTCGCTCTCTTGGAAAGAGTTCAGACATTGTTTCAAGACCACAAACATCATGACAAATTTACAAACACTTAACAGGCCTTCAGGGTGTTGAAATGCCATGCATGGAATTAGAAAGTATTATTGAGGCTTGGTGTCCATTCTTTTCCAAAAATGGATTCAGCAATGTTCTTTTTTTTTTGGCCTTCGAGGTCCCATTAAGGAGCATGTGCTTACTGCAACAACTCACAGTGCTCATTTGGTTAATGCCTTTATTTGTGAAGGTGTATTGGATGCCATGTTGGGATTCTTGTTTTTTTCCAGTTAATGTTGCAAAAACTCACATACAGTCTCAGATTGGTGGGAAGTTTCAGTCTTTCTACAGGTTTTCAAAACGATCTGGCTAGAATGGGACAGGAAACTGACAAATCTCTTCAGGGGTGCACATCTAAATTATCTTCAGTGCTTCGTCTCGTGGGGCATCATCAATGCGACTTATGAATTCTTGTTAAAGATCACATGAAAAAAAGTCACCAGTGAAGTGCCACATATCAACTGAACAGACCTGAGAAAAATGCAGTTTGACTTAGGTTAAAACTGGCCCCAATACAAGTTGGTGTCAAAAAGAAAAAAACCAAAAAAACCCAAGTTGGTGTCATTCAGTCCAGGACATAGTGAATTACGGGCAAAGCTGTTTTCCCTGAGCATCAACAAAAACAGAATAAAAGGTTTCAGTAGGAAACTTTTAAGTTATTTTTCTCTTTTGTTTTTAATTTTTATCATAACCCAAGAGCTTTAGGCTAATTGCTGGTAAATAGCTGTTTATCTGACAGTCTTTCACAAGGTATCCTAATAGTCAGGATACCATTCTTTTCCCCAAAACGACCTTTGAGCCTTTTGCATTGAAGCCTAAAATGGCCACAATCCAGGCCAGGAAAATGCCCTTAGGGCCCTTAGACTTCTCAGGCTTACTTTGTTACTTCATTTCTTCTTTGCTCTCAGGAGCAGTTGCAAGGTGGTCTTCATTAAACTCAAGCATATATGTGGCAGGGCACAAGGGCAGAAGAGAAAAGAAAAACAGCTTATTTGGTCAATCTGAATTCTTGGTGTTAGTTTTGAAATTAAACACCTGTTGGGATAGTCATAATCCAGATTCATCTGGTTAGATGTGCTAGATGGAATCATGCAGCTAATGAAAGTTCTCATTTTGTTTTCTATCTTTGGATGTTTTCTGTTTAATTCTGAATCTGACCTTAAACCCTTCCAAAATATCCTTACGCTAATTTTACTGATTTCATTGACGAAAGATGGGAAGATTTAAATTTTTTATAGATGTTTCATCGTGTTATTAATTACATATAGTTCCTAGTCTCTCTCTAAAAAAATTAAAAACATTCCACTTGCTTTCTTCAGGTGACATAAACTCTGTACATGCTGTAAGCCCAGGAACACTACAAACTTCCATCACACATCTACCTATATGAAGTTGCTTTGATCCTGCTTTTGATCCTGAAGTTCATGTTCAGAGTGGCTGTCCCAATCTAAGCTAATCTACATCTCTGCCAAAGGGTTCTGCTCAAACTTCAACTGTCATTTCGAGAGTTTAGTATTTAATTTTTTACCTGCCTTTCAAAATATGTCTAAATTTTTTGATTAACACAAAAAAATCAACACTTGGGCTTAAAAATGACTGTCCCATCAACGGTCGCTTTATCCACTACATGTGCCTCTCTGTTCCGCTGAGGGAAGTAAGTAGACAAACAAGGAGACAGAGTGGCATCGAAGTGCCATGCTTTTCACCCAGTGCTACTGGGACCATCTCTTCCCCCAGCAAAGGTCCTAAGTTCTGTCCTACAGGTCATGCCAAGTCCCAAGTACATGCTGGGACCCAAGATCCTTCATCTGGCCCCTGGCTCAGTAAGGTGTAAAGCCAGCTCCGGTTCCATGCTGGGGTTCTGCGGGTGCTGCCTCGGGTCCTTCACAGGCCCAACCCTGCAAAGTGGAAGGGCAGGTTTCCTGAGGGCAGGAGGCTTTACTGGTTGGGGTTGGAAGGACTGCCAGTCTATTAGTACAGTGTACCAGATAACTACAAAAAATGGCAGAAAGTATGGGGAGGCCCTCACCTAAGTATAGCTTACAATTCTTATATAATGAATTAATTAGAGAGGGGTACATTTCAATCCAGCTGTGTAGCTACTTGGGAAAAGGTTTTTCTCACTGCAATCCTAGGTCCTTATAAGGCAAGTCTCATGGTACAATCACCCTGACTTGTCCAGAATGGCCCAGAATCAGCCACTTCCCAGGATAAGCAGGAAGGTGGGAGGAAGGAGGCAGGGAAGGGCAACAGGGCTCAGCCTCTGGGGCTAGGCCAGAGCTCTGCACACCCTCCTGTGAGCCTCTGGAGACCAGAGCTGACAGAGTTAGTGCCATTTCAAACCCACAACCTGGGACT